TTATTCGTACCTCCTGTAAATCGATTTTTTTAACTTCTTCAGACTTTTAAGCAAAACTATCCCGACAACTACCAAGTTAAATTTAATGAACCTTTTATTTTAATTCTATTTTGTTTGTAGCATTTGAACAACAAAATTTTGTTAAATTTGACATGGTGGTTGTCAAGTAAATATATAATATAAAAAAAAAAATATAAAATAAAATAAATTTAGTTTTAAAGATTAGCTTTACCTAAAAAAAAATATAAAATAAATAAAATAAAAATTTATTAAAAAATTTAAAATTATTAATAGAAAGAAAAACCCGCTAACAAGATAAAAAAACTTTCTATTTAAATTAAAAGCTTAAAAAAAAATAAAAAATAAAAATCTAATATATATTTAAATATACTGTAGTTGCAAATATTTAAAATTTACTATTAAAAATTTTAAAAATTTATAGACATAATTAATATAAAATTTAATAAATATTTATTTATATTTTAAAAAGATATTTTTTATTTAAATATTTACCTTAATCATCATCTGAGTTTATAAAATCTTTAGGATCCCAATCATAATCATCATAATTATCTTGTTCTAAAATTTGATTGGTTTCTTCATTAATATTTTCTAAGATTTCATTAGTTTCTAATAATAAATTCTCATTATTATCATCTTCATCTGGAAAATTTTCTAAATCATCAATAAAAATTTCATTATTTAAATCTAAATTGTTTTCTAAAAATAAAACTAAATTTTTTTTAGTTGTTGTATGTGTTTCATTAACATCTATATTATTAATTAATAATAATTGATCTTTATCAAATCCTTCTTTTTTTAATCTTTCTTCAAAAGTATTAATATTTGTTTGATTTAATATTTTTAAAACTTCATCTTCTGTTATCTCATTTGCAAAATAAGAAAGTTCTTTTTTAGCATTAGAATTATAATATGTACATAGTTTTGCAATTGATTCTAAATTTTGAATATCTATTTGTGTTCATTTGTTTCCAGTTAACCAGGTAAGTAAAGAAAAATTTCGTTTACAAGAAACACTATTTGGGACAATTGCTAAAATTTTTAGTGCTAATTCTTGAAGATATTCGGGTTCTGGTTCAATTGAATTTTACCAAATTATAGGAATATCATGATCTTGAATATATGCTTTATTATATGGATATTTTTTTTCTGTATAAAGTCAAAGATGAGCAATTAAAATATTACCACTTTCACGAGTATTTCCAAATTTTAACCAAATAGAGCCAACAATATTAATAATTCAGGTAAATTGTCCTTTTTTAAATCCTAAATCTAAAATATAAAAAATAAAATTAGATACTGTTTTTAAATAAAATATAAATTATAAAAGTTTTAAAATTTATAATTTTTTTATAGATTTTAAAACTTTATACTAATTATAAATTTTAGCAAAAATTAAATTACTACAAGTAATTATTATATTATTTTATAAAGTATACTTACTACGAAAATTTGGCATTAAAAAATATCCTAAAAGATATAAATCATCATCAAATTCTTCAAATCTCTTATTTAAAATATTAATACAATATTGTCGAAACTTTGTATATTGTTGTATTAGTAATTTTTTAATTGTTGCACTTGTTTTTGCTAAACTTAAAAAACAATCACCAAGAGTTGTATTATTACTTTCTAATAATAAAATTGATTTTTTTAAAGGCAATAATACAAAATTTAGTACTTTTAAATGAATAAAAAAATTATAATAATTTGATCATTTGTTAAAATATTATCTTCAACAATCTAAAAATAATAATAAATTTATAAATAATAATTAATAATATTTTATAAATTAATTTATTACCTTTTTTAAAACTTTTTCTAAATTTAAAACACTTTCAATTGTTTCACTTGCAGTTGTCTATCTAGTTTTGGAATAATTTTTAAGAGTTCTACTACTCATTTTCATTTGTTCTATTAATAATCTTAATTCTGCTCCTTTAGTATTAAACAAAAAAATAATTATTATAATAAATTAAAATTATATAAAATATAGTTAAATTTTTATCTGCACGATGTAAAGATTTAAAAAAATTATATAAAGTATTATATTTTTTAATCAATTTATCTGCCCATT